GTATTATAGTTGAGGAAGCATGGAAATTTACATCATGCTAATTAGTAGAGGTGATAAACATTACCATTGAAATCCACCTGATGACTTTATAACCACTCAGATGTCAAGGAGCTCAGAAAGTAATTGACTGTGACTAGTAATAATCAGTTATATAGAGATCAGAAACACATGTGCAAACATCTTAGTGTCAATTACATTAAAAATGAATTTTTCTATATGAAACTGTGTATTTTAATAATGAAATGGAGATATTTCTTAAAGGTTAAAACCTTCTTTAATTTTGTCTTATATAATTTTTACTGAGCACAACATTTTATAACTGCATTAATTCAACTGTAAACCTAAAAATTTACAGCCAGTTTTGAAAGAGATGCATCTTAGCTCTGGAAATTGTTATTGAATATGTCAATGCTGTTGTAATGAAATGCTTCTTCTAATTATGTGGTTATTAAATAAATAATTAAAAAAGAAAAAAAATATTGGACATGCCTGGTAAGACCTTGGACTTGAATATTGACTACTACTTTTTTTTTTTTGGTATTTTCGAGACAGGGTCTCCCTATAGCCCCAGCTGTCCTGGATTTACTATGGAGACCAGGCTGGCCTCGAACTCACAGAGATCTTCCTGCCTCTGCCTCCTAAGTGCTGTGATTAAAGGTGTACACCACCACGCTGGCTTGACTACTACTTTTTAGTTGTGTGACTTTGGATAATGTCTCTAAGACATTGTAACCTCATCTATAACACAGGAATAATAATGGTACCATTTGTTCTCCTATGGGTCTCAAGAAGATTAAATGAGATAATAGTGGAAGACATGCATATTTTCTACAGATAGTAAAATCCTCAGTGTTATTAGATACTGACTCACTATTTCATATACACTATTGATAATGGCTCTGAAAATTTTATAAATAATTACCTACTATCCTACTAACAATCAGGGAAACATACTTAAATGAACATTATGTTTTAAATTTTTTATTTATTTTTATTTTACATGTTTGAGTGTTTTGCTTGATTGTATCTAAGTGTACCATGTGCATTCAGTGCCGGTGGAGGCCAGTAGAGGGCATCATAGCACCTGGAACTGGAGTTACAGATAGTTGTTAGCTGCCATGCAGGTATTGGGAAATAAACTGGGGTCCTCTGCAAAAGCAGCCAGTATTAACTGCTGAGCCATCTCTCCAGCCCCAGCCATTATGTTTTTATTGTGGTTTTGTCAAATGTACTCTTATCATAACTATAATCATATTATGAATATAACCAGTGCTTAGTTGCTTAACTTACAAAATCACTTCAACTTTCTGCTTAGAGGTGACTATACGTGTGGTTATTAGCCTTACAACTAGAGCCATTTTTGAGATTTATTAATATGTTAATTGATTAAATGCATTTAATGAAATAATAAAATTTTTAAAACATTTTTTAGGCTGAGAATACTTACTGAACATATCTATTTGGGACAAATTCCTAAACAGAACAAAAAAAATGTAAAAAGTACCTTTGCAATAAGGGGTAGGTTGGCTCCAGGTTCCCTCATGCGTACAGAGAAGAAGTGCCTCTCCAGTCAGCAGGTAGCCTTGGTAACAGCTGTACATGACTGACATTCCAGGGGAAAACTGAGCTATATTCCCACCAGTATGATTCCCATTGGGGATTGTGGATGGGGCCTGACATCCTAAGAAAGCTTGGAGAGCAACAAGAAAAGACCTTTAATTTGGCACAGGAGACTACTTAGACAACACAATTTCTTGGTGATAGTAACATAGAAAGGCAATGAGAAACAAGCCAATTAATTCATTCCAACTAGACCAAGCAAGGTTGCACAGATATGTGCATTTCCTATCTGTTTCATATATGAGTAGAGGAAAAGTCAAAAAGGGTGATGCTGAAATGTCAGTGGCCATGGTCCACAATTGTAATCTTATCAGCCCATGATATTCTATTCTCTTTCCTCTAAGTAGGAAACAGGATGTAATCTAAATATCACACATGCAGATGCCCAGGAACTATGAAAAGAAACCACATCTCTGGGGAACTGAATTCAATGGGTCTGTACCTAGCAGTCCTTGATGGAGGCAGGAACAAAGCTGCTAAATAATAGCTACAATTACAGGACAGACAGTTCAATATGTTTGAAAGTTTGTTTGATTCTTTAGAACATCCATCATTCTCCTTATGGCTGGCACAATAGTCTTAAATACCAAAATTTCAAGGATTATTATTATTGTCAAGCGTTTGCCAAAAAGTATGTATACTTTTTCTATCCATAAGAGTAATGTTAGAGGTCCATCGACCCATAAATTAATCATTGTCCTTTCAGGTACTCTTGCTATATACAAAGGAAAAAGAAAAAAGAATCAGGTGAAAAGATGGGAAAGACAGATCATTTTCAAAAATACTAATTGCTTTAGTTTTTAGATGCTTTACTTTAGGGCAAGTGCATACTCAAAAGCCCTCTTTGTTTTGTAAAACATCCCATATTTTATCCATCAAAATTTCTTACCCTTTCTGATACAAGTTGGTATACCTGGTACCCATGTATTATCAGTATGACACCTTATCAAGTGACTGCCATTCATGATGAATCCATGATTGCAGGAAACAAGCACTGTGTCATTATAGGAATATGTAGAATGAGTTTTATTGAGGTTATATCCATGTTTGACTTCTGGGTTAGGGCAGTGAGTAAGAGGAGAAGATGATAAGCACTGTGGAGGAGGTCCACTCCAAGATCCATGTCCTTTAGAATCATTTCTGCACTGAAGACTTTTCTCTCCCTGAAGATAGTACCCTTGATCACATTCATAAGAGACTTCACTTCCATATAGGAAGTTCTTTACCAACATGGCCGTGTGCTTGCCATGGATAACTGTTGGTGGAGGTTGACAGAGAATAGCTGCAGAAGAGATTTAAAGAATTTGACTTCAGGTAGTACATCAGAATGGAGAGCCTTCGTTCCATTGCAAACCAAACCATACAAATGCCTTATATTTCACATAATCAGAAAACTAAATCATGCTTTTGGTTGAACAACTTAGGCAAGTGTTATGTTTACATGGGTAATACATACTCAGTCCAAAAAACTCAGAAAATACAGTGACATATTAATAAAGAAATGTATGTATAACCCTATGTCCTAAAAATATGAACCACTTTTTTGCTTTTAGAAAAATTAGAATATATATAGTAAATACTTATTCCTACTTGAAAATTTGGATTTTTTAATTTTTATTTTATGTGTATGAGTTTATTGCCTGCATGTGTATAAGTGCACCTGTGTCGTGCAATGCCCAAGAAGGTCGGAAGACAGAGTTGGATCCCCTGGAACTGGAGTTGGATCCCCTGGAAGTGGAGTTACAGACAGTTGTTAGCTGCCATATGGGTGCTGGGAATTGTACCTGGATCCTTTGCAAGAGCAGCGAGTGCTCTTAACCACTGAGTCATCATTTTAGTCCCGTATTTGATAATGTGTTTTTCAAATAACAGTGTTGACTAAACAGTAAATTTCCCATGTCTTACATACACTCAGGAAAAATGGACTATTAGAGTAGTTGAAAAATGCTCTTCATTGATTTATTTGCCCTTTCTAACTACCTACATCCATGGTTGGCCTTTCCCATCCCATCTCCAATTTACCTTTACAAATGGCAATCTTTTGGAACCAAATTCCATTCTCAGCATCTTGACACTTCTCATAAGCATGTTCAGTCAACTGGTACCTAGGAAAAGATAATACATTTCTTTTCAAAACTTTGTCTCTGCAACTTAAACTGTTAAACTGTACAACTATAATGGAACTTCTAAATAAGACCTTTGGGAAAGAGAAGGTTAACTCATGTCCTCTAAATTAGAAAACTACTTTATATGTAAGAGACACTCAACAAAGCCTTTCAGTGTCCGGAAAGCATGTAGGAGTTACTAGTTAGACCATTAGAATCTGATAGTTTCTGTGGATAAGACAATGAAGAACACACAAAGCGATTTACCAAGACAAGCTGTGGGTAGAGTTAACACACAATACAAGGTAGATACTCTTTCTCAGAATGGACGACCTCATACTCACCCATCTTGACAGGCCCTATTCACTAGTTTCACATGTGAATCATCTGGAAGCTCTTGAAGTTCTCTCACAGGCTCACATCCTTCTGGAGGGACAAAGTTAAGATTGCTTTTAAATGCCTCATACCAAAAAAGACAGGCTCACAAACTGAAAGAAACTTCACCTTATGGGCAGGGCTCTACTGACCTAAAGACAACTTGTACCCAGGATCACAAGTATATTCTAGTTATCCTAGTGATAGAGGACCATTATTTCTACCCGTGTGCCAACTGTGGTGGGGCCTAAGAAGCCTAGAGAGCAAACTTCTCACATAAATACCAACATAGGCATTTCTACTCCAAAATTTTAAGTACACAGCCATTGATGGCAATCTGAAACTTTGAAGCCATGGTTCAGGAAGCTCTCATTCATCATGGAATGCTTTTTGCTATTGTGCTACACTCGTGACCCTGGCTACATGCTGTGAGAAACATTTGTTTGCTTTCAGGATAGTAGAGCTCTGCCTATGATGTGAAGATTATTTTAATTCCTGAGTCATATTTCTTTTTTGTATGAGGCGCCTTAAAAAAGCCCTCTCGATACCAGGTGTGGTGGTGCATGCCTGTAATCCCAGCACTTGGGAGGCAGAGGCAGGCAGATCTCTGAGTTCAAGGCCAACCTGGTCCACATAGTGAGTTCCAGGTCATCTGGGGCTACAGGGAGACCCTGTCTCAAAAAGACCAAAAAAAAAAAAGTCCTCTCATCATCTACCCTGAATGTGTCCCAGATCCAAGGCTGTACTTACATGGTGATGGAACACTTGCCTAGCTTGTAAAAAACCCCGAGTTTAATCCCCAGTGCTATAAAAACAAAAGGGAAGGAAGGAAGGAAGGAAGGAAGGAAGGGAGGGAGGGAGGGAGGGAGGAAGGAAGGAAAGAAGGAAGGAAAGAGTAAATATCTTTTTTTATTCCCATTGGTTTGGGTTTTTTTACCTTTTTCACAAACTGGTATTTCAGGATCCCAGGTATTATTGGCTCTGCAGCGAATCTGACTACTTCCACTCAAAATATACCCATTGTTACACTTGAATGTCACACTGTCATTGTAGAAATAGGGGGCTTCCTTGCCAAAGAGCTTGTATCCATTTGTAACATGAACATCTGAGCACTGGACAGCAGGGAGAGAAAGTTTACAGAAAGGAGCAGGGCCACTCCAGGAGCCTCTCCCTTGACTGTCACGTGTGCAGTGGATGGTGTGTTCCCCAATAAGGTTGAACTGCACTCCTTCCTCTGGCCCAGGAGAACACATGTAGGTGACCACTGTTCCATATGGAATGTCTTCTGAGGAACTCCCTGTATGTCTCCCATTGTGGATAACAGGAGGTGGTGGGCAGCTGATTTCTAGAGACATGAAAAGATAATGTAGACATCTGCCCCAGGATTAGAAGTACAGCAGTTCTGACTTGTTGTTTTCTGAAAGGTATGGCTGAATTTTCATGCTGTGAGTTACATCAAAGTTTATTATGTATGTACAGTTCAATTTAAATAAATTTCACATAATAGAAAAATTGTTATCGAACGTGATTATGAGATAGCAAGGTCCATTCACTTACTAATTAATGGAATAATTCTTTTACCACATCAATAGGAGAATAAAAGGTACAAAGGGGTTAAACTTGTGCTTTTGGGAGGCTTTTTTTCTATATTAGCTATATGGTTAACTAAGGTTAGTTATTGTTGAATGAGTGCCTTCTTCACATCAGGAAGTTTCATTATCCAGAAAGTAGGGACAGTACTGTTTAATTCTAATAACTTTGAAGCCTGAGGTTTTTGACACCTTTACAGAATAAACTGGAGTTTCAGAGAAGTTATATAAGTTGCCAAAGGTCATACAGCTATATTAGACAGTAGGAACAGAATCTGAGTTTAGATCTGACACCAATTCCCTAATCTCTTCTTTGAATGTTGGTACAGCCATAAGTAGGGATAGTGTCTTAGATAGTCACCATTCTCTATATTCGTATAACCCTAAATCACAACAGAAAATTGGCAGCTAAGTACAATTTAGCTGATTGACATAGAAAAAGGTGACAACAGAAGGACATGGCAAAGCTGCAGCTATAACAGGTGACAAAGCAATGCACTAATTCCCATAGCACATACGAAAACAGAAAACTCCCAGGAAACACATTAATTTCACATCATTTCAAATCCTCTGTAATTTTTGTTACTCACCTTTACAAAGACGAATCTCCATAAACCAAGGAACTGTACCTTGACACAGTTGATAAGCACTCTCACTTAACTGTGACCTGGAGACAAAGAGTCATGTTATTTGATCATAAGGTTACCAGTAAGTTAAGCAAGAGCTATGGGTTCCAAAGCAGACAGGCCACTTTTAGGACAAGACAACAGGAACAAAAATGTATCCAATGTCAGCACCATCCATCCATTGCATAGTTTCCAAGCATGGGAAAATAGTATGATAAACACTCTAGGAGCATATAACAGGGAAAAACCTTTATGAGCTCTTTCATATAGTTTGAAGTTGGCACTGATAAGACAGACCTCATTCAGGCTGAGACAGCTTTCACTTACCCTTCATCACAAGAAAAATTGACTGCTGGTCTAATAAATTGATCCTGAGGTCTCTTAAAGAGATATGGTCCTATTGGCTTACACTCGGCCACTAAGAAAAGAGACAAGGATAAGAAATAAAACAAGGCAATCTTAAACAAGAGAATTGTCTGTAGTTGTGGTCCTAGTACCTTTGCACTGGGGAGCAATGGGTGTCCACTTCCCCTCAGAGGTGCAGTGTATGGTTTCTTCTCCTACCAGTTCATAGCCAGGGTCACAGCTATATTTTATGAATGTTCCAGGGTCAAAGTTAATAAGGTGACTATCTTCTTTTTGTCCATTGAAGATTTTAGGAGGTGCCTGGCATTCTAAAGGAAAGGCAAAAACAACAAAACTATTTTTAAGAGTAAAAAAATAGAAAGAAACTGAAACCAAACTGAAATTAATATAATTCTACTCTTATGGCAGCTGTATAGCAGATACAGATAGAGGGTATCTGGAAGCCCTCTGGGTAATTTTAGATTATCATTTATCAATCTTGTTTGTACTCAGGCTGCTACTATTTTTCTAGCTTTATTTTCTCTTTCTTCATTTCTTCCTTTCTCCCCAGTACTGGAATTATAGGCATGTACCACTACATCAGCTCTTCCTTTCTTACAGAATTATCTTAGATGATTTTATGGGAGCGTTTGATATACCTCCAGGTGGAGACTTTGCTGACATCCATTTTAAGAAATCGTTGTTAAGACAAGCAAGTGTTTTACTTTCAGTTTTTCCTAAAGAAATGGACAAGTTATTAATCTCTAATGTCTTTTCTGTAGTGGAAGGGGAGTGTGAAGAAAGCCTCTGTAGAATTTATATCCACAATAGTATGACCAAAGGTATAGCAACTAGAAAAGGCCCGGTGTAGAGCCCATAGGGTGGCCCTTCCTCTAACTTTTCCAAATTCACCTTTTAAATAGTGGACACCCACCTTTGTCACATACTGGTGTTGGTGGCTCCCATGTGCCTTGTGCATTGCATCGTACACTCCTACTACCCTTCAAGGTGAAGCCAGGATCACAAGAAAATGTCACAGTGTCATTATAGGAATATTGATCTTTCGAAACTGATAATATTTGCCCTCTTAGAACCTGTGGATATGGACACTGAACTCCAGTAGTTGAAAGTTCACAGTGTGGAGCAGGGCCACTCCAGATCCCAGTCTTCTGACTATCATTGGTACAATAAATAGTCTTCTCCCCAACAAGGATGAAGTCCACTCCTTTCTCTGGGCTTGGGTCACAAGTGTAGGTAACTGTGCTTCCATATGGTGCATCTGCTGAAGAGCTGCCTGTATGTTTTCCATTGAGAATAGGTGATGGTGGTGGGCAGAGAATTTCTAGAGAAGGATCAAAGACAGTTATATATGAATCTGCAATGAATCAGGCAGTTAATGTAAAAATTTTTAAGTATAATTTTAAGACTTTATTTATGGCTATATGTTCTTTGCTGATTTCTTCTTATTACCAAATATACAATTTCCTTTATGTACATGGCCCAAATGCCCTTACAAGACCATGTAGCTTTGAGAAAAGGAAAAGCCTAGGCGCTCCATTTGACATGAGGAAATAGAATAAAGAGGAATTGAAGGTTCAGACCAGCCCCCATAAGATTTCCAACTCTTTGCTGTGAGTGTGTATGCTAATGAATGAAGCATAAGCTTGTAGGAAAGCCAAGGACCTGGTGTGTGTGGACCCCTGTGTTTCCTTACAGATCACCATTGTCTTACCTACCTTTACATACTGGCTTCTTGGTCCAAATAGCTTTCTGTTCAGCAATTACACACTGACTAGAAGGTTGGCCTTGTAATTGGTACCTGGAGACGGGGTTGCAATTTAGTACCATTAGGCAATTTGGGCTCGAGAACAGCAGCCTCGACTTAAAACCCAAGACAAGTATACTTAATTTGTGCAGCTACTCTTTTATCAGCACCCTCTTTCTCACCACTTCATTTCAGACTGTTCACTGATCACATTCAGATCCATACATATTCTTTCTGCAGGCGTTATGGTTCACACCAGGCATATATAATCCAAGTGAACTAAATTGTACAGACCCTCTTGACACTCACCCTTCATTACAGGAGAAATGCACAGTTGCACCAACCTGAAGACTCAGAGGCACTTTTACCTGCCCATTGGGAAACTTCCCTGGAGGCTCACACCTGGCCTCTAGAAAAAAAAAGCAAAAATAAGAAAGTATGACAAATATCAGGGCAACCTCAAATAGATGGTAAATTTAAGTTACCTTTGCATGTGGGGGTGACAGAACTCCAGTCTCCTGAAGATAAGCACTTAATAGTCTTTTGTCCATTAAGCAAATAACCAGGTTTGCAACTGTATGCCACAGACAGTCCTGGAGTAAACTGGCCAATGTGTTGTCCTGTGTGATGTCCATTAAGGATTGTGGGAAGTGGTGGACACTCCAAAGGAAAATCTTTATACATATACACAGGAGGAAAAGCCATCAGATGATACATCCTTCTGAATCTAGATGTCAGTTTAAGACACAGAGCTAAATAAATAGCATGCAATCTGTGGTAACCTGTCTCTCCAGTCCCCATTTTTACTCATTCTTAGGCCTGTTCTCTGTTCTAAAAGTGACATTATCATTCAGAGGATTACCCTGCTAGACATTACTAATACAGTTTATCAGTATCTTATGTATAATGTATGTGTAAACATGTATAGTATGTATATCATACACACTAATCTAGCTTTCCTTTCTTTCATAACACATGTTCATGATGTCTTTCCAATTCAAAACATATGTTTATCTAAATCTTTAAGGTTCATTTTCCATAGCCAGTCCATTCTGTGACTATCTTAAGAACATTTTCCTTTAACACTATCCATCTATGTACTGATTGATTGACCTATTGATATATAAATAGAATAAATATAATTTGTGATATTTGGGATCAAACTGGGCATGCACTCTATCACTGAGTTACATTTGCCCTTTTATTTTTTATTTACATTTTATTTTGACACAAGATCTGGCTAAGTTTGCCAGACTGGCTTTAAAGTCACTCTGGCTCAGGCAAGTCTTAAACTGCTGATATCCAACCTCCTGAGTACCTGGGATTATAGGTCTGTGCTACCAGGGTAGAGGACTCATATAATTAAACATTTTAAAAATTATTTTTTAACAATTTTAACATAGTTAAGTTTTGGGTTTAGGTATATTAGTAATATAAACCAAATGAAAAGTCAATAAAAAAATTCATAGTCTTTCCTATTTTAAAAGTCAGATGATCTGAAATGTGCCAGCTCGGGAAATGGCTTGGGTAAAGAATAGGTCACTTCTGAACATGTTTGCAAGGCCACAGAGTAGAATGTACCTGAGCCAGACTACAGTTAATAGTTGTTAACAGGCAAATCTTATATCCATTGGGTCTATTTTTGTTCCAAGATTCCACATTTCCCAGGTACACAGTTTAAAGTCACACCAAATGGTTTCCATTAGCTCCCCATCCTTGGGAGACTTTTCCTACTCAGTTGTTAGATATGTTTATAATTCCCATAATTATTTCAAACTTTTTTTTGTCTTTTTGAGACAGGGTCTCCCTGTAGCCCCAGCTGTCCTGGAACTCGCTATGTAGACCAGGCTGGCCTCGAACTCACAAAGATCTGCCTGCCTCTTCCTTTTATTCAATTTATTTTGAAGGAATGGTTATAGTCTCCAAATAAGTGTAGGCATAAAACCATAATTTCCCCCTTTCTCCTTGCTTCTTCCTCACTCAACCCAATCCTTGCAACTCATGTACCTACATAGTTCTTCCTTCAACAGCATGCAAAAAAAGTCTGCCTAGAAATGCAAGACCCTAGCTCTCAGCAAGGCTTTACTTTTACAGTCAACACTCATAGGTTGGCAGATCCTAGGCCCTTGACTCTATTTTGTTCCCATACTCACCTCTCTCACAAACTGGCAGTGGTGTTGGTCCCCACATTTTATTTGCTTGGCACCAGACTGTTTTGTTTCCTTTCATGGTGAAGTTGGCTTTACAGGTAAATGTCACAGAATCACCATGTCTGAATGGTGGTCTAGATTCTCTATTTCGGAATCCTCCTGGTACTCTGGGCTCAGAGCACATAGAATGTTTATTGAAAGGTTCACATACAGGAGCAACTTTATCCCAGGTACCATTCACTTCGTCTTTACTTATACAAAAAATAACTTTTTCTCCAATGATGCGGAAGCCAGGTAAACAACTGTACTTTACAACAGTTCCAATATGTATGGGAGGAGAATAATAAGGATCCCGACCATTTTGAACATGAGGAGGCGGTTCACAAAAAATCCCTGAAAAGCAGAAAAGAGACCAGGTGGGCATATTGATCATGATAATAAAAAATTTAAATAGAAGTTCCATGTACAGATACATTACTTTTCCAGAAACATACTTACAAATTTGTATGGCTTATTGTGATTTTATTTATACTCATAGTTGGTTTATTTCAAAACTCATAAGTTCTTCTCCCTTGATCCTTAGCAACCAAATCAATATAAACCATCTTAACCAAATGACAAGAAAACAGGATTGGGCCAATTATTTAATCTATACTTTCAGGAATCATTTCTATATGTCGTTATTTTAAGAAACAAAAGGCAAACGTAGCACATGAAAATATGTTAATGACATGCTAATTGCATGTGGGGAGGCATCATGGACTGATGTCTCTCTGAGTTCACATTCCCACTGTCATTCAATAGCTGTATGACCTTGGGCAAGTCGTATCCTCCCTCAGCCTCAGTTTCCCAGACTGTCGTGTAGTTCAGGGTATTTCATACAGTATAATGAGAATCTACTGAGAGAAAAGCAGGTACAATACCTGGAACACAGTAATTATTCAATGCCTGTGTCAAATATACAGACAGCCTGTGGGTAGCATGGCCACATGAGGTCCTGCCACCAAAGACACTGCATATCATTACAGGTCATTTGGATCCTTCAAGCCAGATTCCTTTGAGAAACTCAGTAAGTGAAGTTTTGAATAATGACCCCATATTCTTTATGCATCGTAGTGGCATGAAGGTCATTAGCTGTTAATAGTTCTTATGATATATGCATATCTTTTCTAGGTAAGTTTCAGAATAAAGAGAAAGTTGACAATGTCTACATCTTCCAGTTAGTTTCTATTTGGCCCTAGGTAGAGCGCTTCGGTACAGAAACTGAAATATGAAGACCCAGGCAGTGTTTCAGCACACCAGAGAAAGCTGTGTTTGGTTTTGGTATAAGTAATTTTCCAGAACTTTTATCATTATATTTATAGTTACAACATGGTATGCAATTAAGTGACTAATTTAATACTTTGATCTGCATTCTGAAACAGAGAAAAGTGGCACATATTTGCTCAAAGTACATGCTTGGATGACATGCTGTATTTAACAACCGTATGGAAATATAGAATTAAGAGGCAAGATCCATACTTGATTATTTTGGTTCTCTACTCACGTTCACAGACAGGAAACTTATTATTCCAGATTACTGTCACTCCTTCTGGCACACACTGACTAGAAGATTTGCCAATTAACCGGAACCTTAAACAATAAGGAGCAGCAAATCATCACTAGAACAAATCACTTCTTAGTTCCATGGAATGAATAATTTTTCTCAAGTATTCATAAGCTATACATTTTAAAGTATTTCAGGCCTAATAAAATAAGCCCATGGTTACTTGTGAATCTGTTCAGCTAAATAATGAATTCATAATTGATATAATCTAGAGAAAAAAAATAAGCAGATCTCTGTGAGTTCAAGGCCAGCCTAGTCTACATAGTGAGTTCCAGGACAGCTGGGGTGACAGGGAGACCCTGTCTCAAAAAGACCAAAAAAAATTTTTTTGAACTTTTAAAAAATTCTCCTTTGCCTTTTTGGCATCTAACTATCAAGATTACCTTGACTATCTTGAAGAAAACAGCCTCAATCCCTAGAGAAGGAAATACCAAAGACCTCCTTTCCCAAGTTCACCTCAAGGAGTCTCACTGAACCCAAACTGTGTATTCATTCTCCATAACAAGTCCGTTAACTTGTAAACCCAAACTTTGCTTTTCTAAATGATGAAATGACAGTTCCCACTTTGGCTGGTCATACGGAAAATACATATACACTTGAAGAAAATAAAAAAAGATTTGGTTAACAACAGAGTTCTTATTCATAAAGGGTCAAGAAAAGGAAAGAAAAAATAAGACAGAAAAAATTATCTTCAGAGTTTATACTTTACAATAATTATCGGTGGGAAGGAGTTGGTTCAGTCCTATCACTTCACACTCACCCTTCATCACAAACAAAGGAAACCTCTGCCCCAAGCTGGAGATTAGGAGGAAGAAACACATGGCCATTGAGAAGTTGGTCTGGAATGGCCTCGCATGATTTTACTACGAAAGAAGAGAGAAGGCTTGCACATGAAGAGTCAGGAAAACAGTTGAGTTTTCTTTCAGGGGGGAGCAATCTCTAGGCACCTTCACATGTGGGGGCTGCATGGCTCCAGGTTCCCAAGGCTGTACACTGCACAAGGCTAGTTCCAATGAGAGTATAGCCAGGCTCACAGCTGTATAATACTTCCTGTCCAACTGAAAAGAATTCCTTATCCTTTTTGTTATAATCACCATGGTGGATATGTTGAGGTGGTAGACATCCTGAGGAAAGAACAGGACCAGAAAGTCCTTTTATTTATGAAATAAAAACATTACAACTTACAGCTATCTTGGGTTTAGTGCTGTGGGATGAAGGGTTCTACCATATTAAGGCAGCGACTCTTGAGTTCCACTGAGTGGGGCTCACGTGCCTTGCTCTCTGTCTAGATTTGATGAATCATGTGTCTGGTCTGTTTCCTCTATTTTGATCTATGCAGGAGAACATTACTCTTACTCATTAAAAAAATTATTTATGTAGCCTTTAGCTATACACATGGACTCTTATGAAATTATATTGGCCCCTTTAATCTTTGGTTATACTTTCCTTTTGGGTGTTTAAGGCCATACAGTTGGTCCAGATAAACCGATTTATTTTTACTCTTAAGGTCGCTTAAGGATCTGTTCCTCAGGGGTCACATGGACTTGGGAGGAGCCCCTGGCTCCTTTCTTTTACCAGTTCCACCTATG